TACCAATTCGTGATAACATTTTTCGGTTCGACCGGCAAAACTACGAATTTCCTCGTCGGATCGTTGTCGACTATTACTAAGTTGCGATTGCAAGTAATTAATTGAATGCGGTGCCACAAAAACGTTTCTAAGGTGGTTTTTAAGCTCAGACCAGTTTTCAAATTTTCGGTAACGAGTAGCCTGGTATGCGTCTCCCTTTAATTTAGATAATATATTGTGAAATACTACGGTTACAAGATTTTCATGGATATTTTCCATTACATAGTTACATTCGGTTATATATGAGGCTAGTTCTACCTCGGAACTCCCGCTAAAGTTAGGTATGCCGCGCAAGGCGGAGTCAATCCCTAATGTTACGCTCATGACTGTCGTTTGTAAAGTTTGCGGGTTATATTTAACTACTGCCCAACACCTTGGACTCTCAGACATATACTATATAATTGCTTAAAATAACAACTTACAGTGCAAAATTAATTGTATTCTTGTGTGGTCCTAACTGCTTGCGTGCTGACGGCTCTGCGGACTCGTCGTTGATGCTCCAATTGGCTAGTTGAGTGAAGTTGGAATGTTGATTGAAGTTGGTGACTTGGCTCGGCTTGCTTCCTTCCTAGGTAACAGCAACGTGAATAAACTCGAGGTCCGCTGATGTACTCGACTCCAGGTTGGTTGCTGGAATTCTTCCTTCAGGTGACCCCACACCTGACACCAAAAACGTGTAGTGATCCCTCACTAACACTTATATTTTGAGTTTGACGACGTTGATGATTGAGTAGGAGAAAAGGTTGCAGAGTTATAATTTAAGTAATTTATTTTAAAGTTAATAATTATATAATGGTATTACATTTGAATATAGAAATTTGAGGACAGCGATAAGCGTCTGCCCGAGAGATTAGTGGTTAATACTAAGTACTTACAAGTATGTACGTCGTACTAGCACTGCGCTAATTCTAATTTAGATACCGACGGAGACTCGTATATATACAAAGTCTCCCTTGGTTATTAGGTACCTACACGGTAGAGACTCGGAGGTGGATCAAAGGAATACCGGCGGTTTGAAAGGTACCGACGTAAATGTTAAAGTTGTCGAATAAACCTTGAGTTGCGAACTGGTTTGTTTGGCAATATGTATTATTAGAAATCGTTATGCGATTTCCAATGGTGTTCTTGAAGTAGGTAATAACCCTCAGGGCATGTTTTAGTTGTTGATCAATATATCATATAGTGCAAAGTCCTTATGATGTATAATTATAGGAAAGCTACTCTGTCGGTTTACTACATCAGTTTTAGTTGTTTGTTTGCCTGGAAACAACTATAGGAGAAAAGGCAGTGTAAGTGTTCATTATGGTGTCAGCATTTATTAATTATTCAATATTAGATACAAGTTTAAGTAAATTACTTAATTTTAGAATTAATTTCTTAACTAAAAATAACAAAATACAATTATTTAATTAGAATTAAGTACCTATAGGCACTAAAAAGTTATAACAAAACAAATTATGTTTTATGACTTAGAAGTTTACATTATAAATCTTTTACAATTTTAGAACAATAATAAACCTAGTCCAAAAACTATTAAGTTTACAGTAACGGGCAATAAAATATATGATAATGAGGATAACAGTCTTAATAAAACAAATATTTCCACAGCCCAGCCTCGCCTTGTTGTGGAAAATCCGCCTTATCGATTTCTCTGCCAACTGTAATTCACGAACAGTCATTATTCTTCCCTGTTCATGAAGTGGCAAGAGAAGCGGTTTCCCCTCAAGCTTACGAATTTTACACTTGTTTAAGCTGTTCGAGATTGCTCCTGATATTAGCACAATGTCGGTTTTCTTCATATTGGTGAATTCGAAATCCACGACAACGAACTTGACTTCCCTTCTAATTTAAAGTCGTTAATACATTTACTATTATTAATAATATTAATACGTATTCTATTTCTAATTACTATTTCTAACTACTTATGTAAATATTGTTTCTATATTTTCTAATTAATTAATTATACTTGTCGTATATAGTATATTCTAAATAATAAAATAATCCTATATAGTTTATTTTATTTGGGGTGGTACATCCCCCCCTTCAAGTGGATTTCGTTCGTCTACCTTATTTAATTTTTGTTCAATTTTGATATTATCCGCGCAGAGTTTACCTTTACCAAATACTATGTACGATAATACAGGACACTGGCATATAAAAACTGGCGAATTATTTCTTATCATTGCCCCGCGAGATTGTTAAAGTAGTTGCCTATTTTACTCCTTGAAATGTTTATAAATACAAATTAATTTAGAATACCGATTTCATTTTATTGTTTATTTTCTAATGCCAAATGCCAATCAACGATTATAATTTTTAATTAGAAATATTAAATTATTTAGATTTTAGATTATATAGTATTTGCATATTTATACATACTTAAAATCTCCATAAGTTCATAAATCCTATTGGGAAATACGATACCTAAACAATATAATGTTAAATGTAAGCTTTATAGTAGGTATTAATTAAATGTAATTCAAAACATATATTATACTTATATATTTTACTTTTTTCATAATAATTATACAACACAAATCAAAATATGAAATTATACCATAAGTGCTTAAAACTGATGGTGCTTAAAACTGAATATCTCTTAATAATAATTTTTCAATTAAATAAACATTGTACTCAAACGTGAACTATTTTTTTCAACTTTTTATTTTTTGAACATTTATATTGGTTGAATCATTGCGTTTCTTCACATAGCAATTAATACTCACATTTAAGAATTTATCCAAAAATTGAGAATTGCAGTCTTCACATATACTTAGTGAGTACCTTTTACAAATATGGCTTATAAAAAGTTTAAGATCCTTTTTTAAATTACATTTTTTTTTTAGAATAAGGTTTTCAATGTTTGCATGAAAAAGTGCAGAAACATGTTTAGTAAATTCCAATGTTTTGGCAAGAGGATGAAGTAAACTGCAGCCATCAATTCCTACCGAGGAACTTGATAAATGATAATATTTATGATAAAAAACAAACAATATTACTATAATATTAGTAATTTAGTATTATAATAATATAATCGTATATAGTATTTTTAATTAATATTCAAAAATGCGGGAATTTATACCAGATTAAGGTGTAAAATAGGCAACTTTTATAACAATCTCGAGGGGCAATGATAACAATTTGTTCGCTATTATTTTAATACAGAGTGTCCTGTATTATCGTATATAGTATTTGCTTTTACCTACTCGTACCATTTCATATTGTGGTCGCCTCAGCGAAGTAAGCCTGCATTTATACGTTATTTATATAAAAATGATTAACATTACTGAGAATACTATCAAGCCCAATGTTAAATAAAATAAATAATTACGCGTATCGCTTGCTTCTAGCTGTCCTGATTGTGTTAATATTTCATTATCGATTTGTTGTTGAACATTGTCTTATGATTGTGCTATTTCGTGTATTTTTTCGAGTTTATGTGAATCCTGTTTAATCATTAATTTAGGCAAGTTCATAATTTTTATTCTATCGGATACCTTAAATGATAACCTAACCTAACTGGTTTGTTTGGCAATATGTATTATTAGAAATCGTTATGCGATTTCCAATGGTGTTCTTGAAGTAGGTAATAAACCTCAGGGCATGTTATAGTTGTTGATCAATATATCATATAGTGTAAAGTCCTTATGATGTATAATTATAGGAAAGCTACTCTGTCGGTTTACTACACCAGTTTTAGTTGTTTGTTTGCCTGGAAACAACTATAGGAGAAAAGGCAGTGTAAGTGTTCATTATGGTGTCGGTATTTATTAATTATTCAATATTAGATACAAATTTAAGTAAATTACTTAATTTTAGAATTAATTTCTTAACTAAAAATAACAAAATACAATTATTTAATTAGAATTAAGTACCTATAGGCACTAAAAAGTTATAACAAAACAAATTATGTTTTATGACTTAGAAGTTTACATTATAAATCTTTTACAATTTTAGAACAATAATAAACCTAGTCCAAAAACTATTAAGTTTACAGTAACGGGCAATAAAATATATGATAATGAGGATAACAGTCTTAATAAAACAAATATTTCCACAGCCTCGCCAAAAAATATCCTTTCATATACGTCATATGGTACCTACATTTTTAAATATAAATATTACATAAATGTTAATAATTTACTTAGTCGAAGTCAGCATTTAGTCCAAGTATAAATAACTTTGTAGTGACTGATACGCACAATTCTAATGAAAATAATATTTTGAAAAGTCTCAACAAAACAGATTGTTCTCTAATCTCTCAATTTACAGTGAATTATGAGTATTTGGTTTAGAATACCTATTTATCACTGAATATTGTTTTACATACAAAATTGTTTTATTCAGCCAACTTCAAGAAACAGATCAAGTAGAAAATCTAGACTTTTAAATAAAACAAGTATAGAAACTGGCATTGAGGGTGTGAATGATTTAAATATTATGAGTTCAATTGATCAACATACTCCAAAAAGACATGCAGTAAGATTATAATAAACATTAAACAGTAGTAGGTATCTGTAATTTTTTTTAGTTTAATAATTATTTTAAAGCAAATGAAGAATAAAGTGACAAAACAACTTTTTGTTTCTGGAAACTGTTGTAGTAAAAAATTGACACAAATTGAAAGGTATTTTTCTATTTAACTTGCATGGTGTGTGTTATAAAAATGTGAAATAATTTAGGTTGGAAAATGAACTAGAAGATATGAAAATTGAATTTTTTTAAATTTATAATGAAAATGAATCTTTGAAATCTAAGATTAAACAATTTGAAGATGAACGGCAAACAACATTAGCAGATGATTTATATTTTAGAAATAAAATGTATGATATTTGTGCAAAATTTTTACCAAAAATCAAGTTGATACATTAGTTAATTGTAAACGTGCAAATAAGTGCTATAATGAAGACATTGCTTCATGTATAGGACTTAGTAGTATTTCACCTAAGTGTTATAAATACATGTACGGGCTAGGTTATCCATTAGCAGGTTAGTTTAATTATTATTAGTTCTAACATTAAAAACATCTAAAAAAAAAAATGTATTTCAGCATTGTCAACTTTAAGAACTTGGGCAGCCAAAATTGTATTAGAACCAGGAATTTTAACCAGTGTTGTGAATTTAATGAAACATAAAGGTATACACCATTCTACAAAAATATTTAAATTAAACTAGTCACTAAAAATTGGAATTAGTCTTTAAATTAGTTACTCGACTAAGTATTTCATTAGTCACATGTTTGAATGTTTCTATACAACAGGTGAAACTATGACAGAAAATGAAAAATTAACTGTTTTGTCATTTGATGAAACTTATTTAAGTAAAAAAAGAGAGAACAAATTTGGGGTCCTCATAAATGTGTCCAAGTGGTGATGGCAAGAGGAATTATAAGCCCGTGGAAACAGCCAATTTATTATAATTTTGATGAATCCATGACGAAGGAGATTCTATTTGAAATAATTCAGTCATTGGAAAGAATTGGATATAAAGTTTAATAATTAATAACATTTTAATATTATTTTATACATTTTTCCTAGACTAAAATATTTGTGAACTTAGGTTGTTGCAATGGTGAGTGATATGGGACCAACAAATCGAACACTTTGGAACACTTTAAACATAAACATTGAAAGTACATCATTTAAAAACCCATTTAATGGTAAAAATGTTCATGTTTTCGCGGATATTCCTCACTTAATAAAACTGGCAAGAAATCACTTATTAGATCATGGGTTTGTCTACAATAATAAGTATATAGGAAAAGAAACTCTGGCCAAGTTCTTAACTGTTCATTGTACTGAAATTAATTTGGCCTACAAAATCAATCAGTTACTTTAGATGTTACTGGTGCTCAGCGACAAAATGTTAGACTGGCAGCACAGATTTTCTCCGAGCGATTGTCTAAAGCAATAGATTTTTGTGGAAAGGCTAAAATGTTAGACCATATTCCAAATTGGCAAGAGGTAAATTATTTATTCTCTATAGCTTGTAAAAAGTAATTAGTACCTCTTTCAAACAAAATTATTAATTATTAATTAGGTAGGTGCCTAATCATTTTATAAAAATAAAATTATTACAATATAGGTATATTAATTATTTTTCTACTTTTGAGATGAGCGATGTATTACTTTTATTCAATGATTGGTTTGATTTGTTGAATACAAGAATGGTAAAAGACAGATTTACTGACAGCTATGGCTTGGACGTTATAAATCAAAATATTTTGTTAAATAAAATGACTCAATATATAAAAGATATGAGAGTCCATGGATCAAAATCACTTATGCCTTTCCAAAAAGGTATTCTTATAACTAATAAATCATTTGAAAATCTATTCAATGATCTACAAAGCGAATACGACATAAAGTATATAATTTCTCGACGGCTCAACCAAGATGGTCTTGAAGCATTTTTTAGTTATATAAAAGGTATGGGTGGTTCAAATGATCATCCTACACCATTGGACTTTAAATAGGTATCGGTAATACCTATAAATATGTACAATAACTATACTAAACTATTTAAAATATAATAAGACTTTGAACAAAATAATTAATTAATTACATATACAATCTATGTATCACTTGCAGATTACTTTGGTACGTTTTGGGAAAACATTCAAATATACTATTTACAGTTCACCGAAATACTGAGGAACAAACCGATGAAGAATGTTTGATTGACTCATCAATTTTGTCTGCCGAAATGTGACATGACTCAAAAGTAGTTGAATGCTCTTCTAATACTTTGTCTTTTGTTGAAACCATTACAACTGAGAATGAATTAGATGTTCCTCAGTCGTCTCTCGATTTGTTGGATGAGTTTGAACTGGAGGTTAACAAATAAAACAAAAATACATAAATAATATCCATATTACCACTTATATCTAATAATACATACCTAACATGTATTATTTTCAAAACTTAATTTATTAAATGTAATTTTTTGTTTGTGTTTCAGTTCTTAGGTAATGAAGAAAATACATCTTCAACTGCTACTGCACAATATGTGATTGGTAGAAATGGGTTACAGTTTTTAGCTGGATATGTAGCCCATCGATTTAGATTGGAATATCCTGAATTGGGGTCAACTAACCTTGATGATCCTAACTGTTCATGAATATCTACTTTAAATAACGGGAATTTATTGCACCCCTCAAATAATTTTTTGAAGGCAATATGTTATAGCGAAGAAGTCTTCAACCAGTTCCATGGCTCAGGTTTGAAAAAAAGTCTTGAAACTTGTGATTTTGTAATATATAATAGCTTAGATTTTAGAACATAAGTATATTATTCTGAAAACAGATTTTGATTATGAGTATTGTAAGAAAATGTTATGCACATTAAAAATTATTTATTTTGAAAAGTTAATACATGAAATTTGTAACATGGATATAGTTGTATAATAAATTTGTTTTATATTGTTCACCAAGTTTTTATGTTTTTAATATTATTTCCTCAAATTATTTACATTATAAAACTGGTTTTGATTTATTATGACATGTTGTATAAACATATAACAATAGTAAATAACAATATTTAATATATAAGTACAATATATATAGACAACAGTTAAGTTTAAAAGTAAAATATATTTTATAAAAAACTAATTCATAATAATTGTAAGTTCAATTAATAGTTAGCTAACAAAATCCCTACCTAGGTTAAACTAATCAAACAGGGAATTTATCATTTGCAAAAATTGGGGTACTTAGATTGCAAATTCCACTTATGATTGTAATAATATCAAAAGCTAAGTAATTGTGTGACCAAATAAATTTATTTTGTAGTATTTTATATACTTTAAGTCTTTGGTTAATCCTTTCAATATGAACGCGGGCACTAGCAATGTCTTTATTAAGTAATGCTTCAGATTTAGAAAATTGAATTTTATTTTTTAGGACTGGTGGTCGAATTATTTGTATATTTTTTGACATACACAGGTCATCAATTAAAAAACCTTTGTCTACCATTATTGCATCAGAACTATTCATTTTTTGGATTAACCCACTTTGTTCAAATTTACTTATCTTATACTTACCTATCTGATGCTCTACCACCATATGGTTGACTAATATAAGTAATAAGCCCACCTGGTGATACTCCAATCAAAAATTTGAGAGTAAAAGTAGACTTATAATTGCTGTAAAGTTTGATGCGGCATGATAAACACTTAGGTTTTTGGATTGGAATTTCAGTGCAGTCTAATACTACTCTAGTATTGGGGGACTTTTTGAAACAATATGGCATATTACTAATTATTTCTTCTTTAGAAGGCCAATAACTGGAACAACTTAATATTTTTGCTAAACATGGAATAAGTGATGAATATATCATACGACAAGATTCGGCAGTGACATTTTTAAAGAGAATAGATAAAACTACAAATGATAAATCCTGCCTTAACTTTAAAAATACCATAATTATTCTCTCTTTGTAGGTTAAATAATGCTTTCCTTTATCAGGAAATTCTGTTTTATAAATTTCAATAATTTTTTCTAAAAGTTGAAATGTAGGTATTCCGGTCATTGTACTTAGTTTTATAGGAGAATTTATTAACGTGATAAATGGAATTTCAATATCTGCAACAGTAACTTGAGTTGCTGAATCCATAAATTCTCTATTACAATCAACTTCTTTGTATAACTGATTTACAACATTCATAACACTTTCACCATTGTCAGTATTACAGTTTTCAAAATCTGGTTTTTCGTGATCCTGTATTACTGGGCTGGCATAATCTGCAAATGCCTGACACTAAAACAAATTAGTAAGAAAATGATTAGGGAAAAATATATATACATATTACAAATAGATTAACCACTTCTGCTTTTTGTGTTGAATATATGTCACTTTTTTTTCTGTTCTTAAGACTAGGTCTTTTTTGGGTGATGTATTATGAACACTTGATACTGGCAATGTTTGGGTCGGAATTGCAGTCATTAATAGACGTCTTTTTTTATTCATTGCACCTTCAAAAATATTTAGAGTATTTATTAAAAAAAAAATTAGAATAGTAAAATAAGCACTTACTTTGAGAGAAAAAATCATTTTCGGTGAAGTGCTTTGAGCAGACTCTGAGGTTCTTTTTTTTCAAAGTTTCTTTTCCCATTCGTAATTTAATAGCCCGCATTTGTCATTTGATCTACCACAGATCTATTAATTTGCCGACTGAAAAATTTTTTTCTCGCTTCGCTCCAATACATTTTCTACCATATTATATTTAGATTTATATTATTATTTAATTTATACCATTTATTTATGATCATCAGGGTTTCTTCGACAAATCCCAACCCACAAACACACATGTAATGTGTCCCTTAACCAACCCTAATTCCCCTCACAAATAGTTACCAATGGTTAAGACCAATAAACGAAGAAAAAAAATTCTTTACTTTATTAGTTGCTCATGTGAAAATAAAAATATTAGGTACCTAACAATTTATCATAATTTTACAACTTCCACATTCCATTTACCCAAATTAATAAAAATATGTATTTTAAATCTTAATTAAGAAAATGTTATAAGTATAATATCAGTTTTAAACAAAATATTTTTATTAATACAAATTATAATATTATTATACATACAATTAGATATTAATTCTACGGTTTTTCAAAGTTGCCCATAATGTTGCTATTTTGTAATTTGTTCATATCTAATTGATCAACCATATCTTTTCCACGTTTAAAATCATAAGTGAATCCAATCTATCATCAGCTATAGATGGTCTTAAATTATTTTTTGTTAGTTGGAGTTTGCTAAATGATCTTTCATTCGTTGCGACACTTACTGGTGCAGTCAAGGCCAATTTACAGATTTTATTAGCCCATGGTAAAATGTGTTTCATTTCTTCATATTTATTTATAAGAATGTCAAATGTATTTGAATCACTACCATGGCACATCCCGATTAATATTTCCATTTCTGCTTGAACAGTATCTATGTCTTTGCATTTTGCGTCTTCAGTATTTGGAGGAAATAATACCAGAGCACTTTTAATGACATCAAGGGAAATATTTTCCTTTTTAAGAGGATGAGACAACATTTGGAATAAAGGTTTAATTTTTTCAATAGACGACAACTGATAACTATCGACTGCAAATGTGCAACAAATTTCAAGAATAATAAAATAATATTTTATAATACCAAGAATAAGTCAATACATACGAGACTACGGGTAACAGTTTACATAGTTACGTGTTGTACAACAGTCGCGCAATGCACTGATAGTAGATAAACACATCTATTTTTAGCATTCGGTGTAATCGAAGTGTCGACGTCGTCGTCGTCTTATCTTTTATAGAAATATATCAAATATAATATTATATACAAGTATATTTTGAAAATAATAAAAATACTATTAAAATACTGACGATGCCAAATTGCCGACAACTTTTACCAAGCGTCCAATTTGCCGACTAAATATTTAAAAAATCATGAGTGGGGGGGGGGGTAGACACCCCCACACGCCCCCCTCAAAGGACGGCCCTGTCCGCGGACCACCTTTCGGGAATCCCTGCCATAGTCGATTATTATAGTACTATTCATTACGTTATCGGAATATGTGTTTGTCATCCGTTCAATGTCATAATCTACTGTGCTAGTTTTGTGGCTGTGATTACTGTCGCTTCCCGTAGTACTGACACTAGTGGACCTCCCTGTTGTGCTAGTAACATTAAGTTTTAATTTGTCATTGTCTACCTCTTCCATATCTCCCATCCGAATAAATGTTACAAAGTATTCTGATCCCATTTTGAATTGTTCATATGTGCCATTCCTATTCTTTAATTGTACTGTACATGATTTTTCCAAAACGTACCCATTTCCATGAACATTGTTTTTAGCCATACTTTCTTCATATGGAGTACTACATATAAATTGTAATGATTCTATATTACATTCATTATTCCGAATTTGTGGCATAGTTATTATGTCAGATTGATAATAGTCCATTCCTACTATATCTCCCTCATAATAATTTTTGTTCTTATTATAGATCTTTATTTCTGATTCCTTGTCGGAACCCATATGTTTTTGGCTTTTTACCATGGCAATTGCTATCGTCCAATACAATCTATGATATACATACATTCTATTATTATATTTCGTTTTAAATTGTTTACATCCCACGTCGATTTTTTTTTTTTATTTAGACTACAATTGTATTTAATATTTTATATCTATACCTAATACGTTTACTATTATTTTTATAATTCTATTCCCGTTTTTTTTTTATTTATTTATTTATTTACACACGTTATAATTTAATCTATTCGCGATGTATTTAATCATTTTTAACGACATCTTGGTCGTCGTTTTCGTAATATTTTTCACGTCATTTTTATGTACCGTTACTTTTTTACGATTCTGCGATATAACTACATTTTCCGAATCTAACAATTCAAATATTTCGTATGGTCCTTTCCAAAGTGGACTTAACTTATTCCTTTGGGTGTGATATTTAAGTAAAATCATATCTTTAACTTCTAACTCTTCGGTTTTGACCTTTTTATCGTAATATCGTTTATTTATTTCCTTATTTTTTATTAATCGTTCCCGTGCTTTTTTACTCGATTTTTGTAATTTTTCTTTTAAATCGTACACGTAATCATCGTAATTATACCTAGGTTCTGGACTTGATTTTAATTTAACTGGAATATTAATGTCCCTACCATACACTAACGCATAGGGTTGGTATTTCGTGGACGTATGTTCCGTAGAATTGTATACAAACATTGCGTATGGTAAAAGTTCATCCCAATCGTCCAAACTGTTACTTACGTAGTGCCTTAAATATTCTGCTAATGTCTTATGTGGATACAGACAAAATTTGTTACGAACGCCTTTGCTACCACATTCGCCGTGTGACAAATCAAAGCTACCCCTAGACTAAACTTCGTTAAGTCACATTGCATTGTAAGTATACAGCGTTGTTTCCTAGACTTGTTGTAACTAACGGTAATACAACGTCCAAAAATATTTTTTCAAATGGTCTTGTACTTGTCGTTGTTATAATCATAGGATACTGAATATGTTTATTAGTATTCTTATTAATTTGACAAGCTGTACAATTCTGTATATATTCCCTTACTTCCTGTTTCATATTCAGCCAGTTAAATTGTTTATTTTTATCTTTTTGACCGTCCTATTAGATCTTTTAAATTAAATAACCATGACAACGGTCTATGGTCCGTAAGTATTGTAAATTTCCTACCATACAAATACGGTCGAAATGTTTTTACGCCGAATATAATCGCTAAACATTCTAGTTTTCAGTGGCGGTTCTGGTAGTATTTTTTCGGTGAGGCAACCTTTGTATCACCCCCCCCCCCCCATACAAAATTAGAATTCACAATAAATGTAATTTAAAAACATAAAAATAATTATAATTGTATGAATGCTAATAATATACTTGTTTCGTATAGTAAATAATATAGTAAGTGATAGATAGGTAATAAACAGAGCATTTTAAAATTTGGTAGTTCTGAAAAGGACCTTTTGAGTAGGCCAACAAAACATTTTTTGTATATAATGACTCCCACATAACCAAGAGTGTTGTTGATATAAATTTGGATTAAATGACCTACAGAATACCTTACTTAGATTCTTGTCAGGAGCCAAAGCTTACAAAATCGGAATAGGCTTACCCACTTTTAGCAAATCATTTTTATTATCAGAATGCCATCGTCGAAACGGGGTCTCCAACAACATAACTACCACGTCTGTCACTGGATACGTCATAACTCCAACAGTAATTAATTTAATATTGTTTATTACAAAAAACTGCAGCGTTATTTTAACGTAGACGTTAAGACGAACCAGAACCACCGAAAAAGTGTAAGACACAACTACAAAAGCGACTATTCGTACAAGACGTCAAGACAGAAATGACTAATGACAAATATAAAATTATTATCAATAGATATTACAACGGACAACGGTTAATTACGAGTATTGGACTGTCCCGAGTCTCGATTGTAACAATAACATCTTTACTGATAAGTGATAATGTGTTTTTACGTTGAAATGCCGGCTGATATTCCTGTATACCGAGTCTATTTTTAGTACATAAGGCGATGTTAGTCGAGCCTCACAATGATCATTGCGCATGCGCAACTCTAGTTATTTAATAGTCGCGTGCATTCGCGTACATACGCTTGTGTGTGTAATTCATGTACACAATAGTACATACTCTGAGGCGGAGTTGAACGGTGCCTTCTGACGTCATCGGAACATTGCCGCCGGTTGAAACACCAGCGTTTGTTTACGTAATAATTATTTCATACATTTCTTATCGGTTTATCACTATTTTTGGTAATAAATACTTAATGATAATATGATTTACCATTTACTATATAATAAATGATAATTAATTTTGTTAAACTTGGCAAAGAAGATTTTTTTCTCAAATAAAATCATAAAAACGTTAAAAATTATTATCGAAATATGTACCTATATGCTATCGGTGGGCCAAAAATTATACCTACTTTAATAGTATTTTTTACTTAAAATTGTAGGTTAGGCCGCTCCTCACTTGCCTCACCCCCAAAACCGCCGCTGCTAGTTTTGTTGCTGAATAATTACATTCTGCTCTGTTTTAAGTTCTAGAACTGTAAGCTATTGGTAAATCAGATCCTACTTTACCAGTTTACCCTGAGATAATATTGCACCTAGCGCTTTTCCGCTAGCGTCGGTTGTTAGTATAAATTGTTTCGTGAAATCTGGATATTGCAAAATTGGTTCTGAACAAATTATTTCTTTTAATTTATCAAAAGCTGCTTGACAACTTTCATCCCAATTGAATTTTACGTCCTTTCGTAATAATTTTACTATTGGATTAGCAATAGCACTATAATTTTCTATGAATTTCCTATAATACCCACTGAGTCCTAAAAAACTTTTTATCTGCTTAACATTCTTAGGTACCGGAAAATTCATTACAGCCTAACTTTCTTTTTGTCGGGTTTTATTCCTTCGTCGGAAATGATATGCCCTAAGAATAAACATTCCCGCTGTAAAAAACTACATTTATCCGGTTCTATTTTTAGATTATGTAAACGTAACCGTTCAAATACATTAATTAACTTTTCATTGTGATCTTGTAAGTTTTTCGCGTAAACTATTATATCATCTAAGTATACCAGACATTTTATTCCTATTAGACCTGATAATACATTCGTGATCATTTTCTGAAATGTCGCCGGAGCTGCACTTAGCCCCATAACTAACCGTTTAAATTGGTAATGACCTTGCCCCGTGGAAAATGCTGTAAGTTCCTTTGAATCTTTTGCTAAACTTACTTGCCAATATCCCGCTTTTAAATCTAATAATGTAAATAATTGGCATTGACCTAATTGATCCAAAATGTCCGTTATATTTGGTAACGGGTGAAATTCGTTTAATGTTACGTCATTAAGTGCTCTAAAATCTATAACTATTCTGAATTTTTGTTTTCCCGATGCATCCTCCTTCTTTTTAACTAAAATTAGTGGTGCATTAAACGGACTCATTGATCTTTCAATAATTTCGTCTTTCATCATTTGATCTATTTGTTTTTCTATTTCTGGTTGTTGCGAAAATGGTAAACGGTACGGTTTTTATAAATTGGTTTCAAATCTTTCGGAACTTTTATTACATGTTCAGCTGCTGTCGTAAACGTAAGACTATCACCCTCTAAATGAAAAATATAGGAATAATCCTCGCAGATTTTTGTTATTGATTTACGTTCATGAACTTGAAGGTGATCTGTACGTATCAACGCCCTCACTTTCCGCTTGCGTTCTATGTCACGCGTATGAATGTGTGTGTAATCCAAGTGGTGGCTATTAGTCAACACAAGTGAAGCAAGGAAATGGGGGAGCTTCATAGTGACCAAATAATAAAAACAAATTATCAGTAGCATTATTATGTTTGTACCACTGTACAAATTAAGTATAGAATAGTGTATTTTTCGTGTACGATAGATAGAATATTATTATACTAGTATTTTTCCACAATAATATTACAAACGACTACGTTTTAGGTTCTTACTTACACGTTTTTATGGGTATATTTTGTAAGGATATACTATAGAGTATGAATTTATGTTATATACCTTTCCATAGGGATATACCTATTCATTGTTATTTGTTAGAGACCAGTCGGGTCCCTGTCCTTGAGTATGAATAGAAAAGACCCAACAGGTAGTTAGCTTACACTGCCTACATAACAGCCCCACAGACATTCCTTTTGATTATTATACTCTACGAATGTATGTTACTTCTCACAATATTAAGATTGGTCATTGGTCATTTATTTTTTACTCGTCTTACGTTAAACACGTTTCCTAGTGAATTTAATTGTAATTTAATTGTAATACATTAATACTTTCAAAATGCCAAGTTGTTTTGTGTGTGGTCGATCGAGTAATTCCAAAAACAAAGATCTTGGAATAAGTTTCCATCAGTAAGTATAAGAATAATAAGTTATAATTTCATATTTTTACAAATTTTATATTTAATATACCTATATTAATATTTTTTTTTTATTATTTAAGAATTCCAAAGAATGAGAATCATCGAGCTCAATGGTTGGATTTTATTAATGTGGTGTTGACCATTTAAAAACTAAACCTAAGAGCATTATTTGCTCTGAACATTTCACCATGGGTTGTTTTAAAAACTATAATCGTACAAAATTATTAAATGAAACCGCTGTTCCATCCATTGTAGTTAATCGTGTAAAATCAGTATGTTTAACTAATAATTAAAATTTTGTTTTATTTAATATCATCTCATTTTTGTTATCGTATATACTTTTTATTTTTTATAGGCAAAAATTGAAATTCCTGAGGTGAGTTGTAAACTTGGTAGCAGTAACTCAAATCCTTGTTCTGTTAAATCAATAATTGTAAGTATAACAGTATATACTAAAAGACTTAAGTCATATAAGATTATATTTTAATTTTTAAATATTCTTCTTATTACCTACATATTTATTAACCAATTACAATTTTAAATTTATGAAAGGTTGACCATGATAGTATTCAAATGGAAGGTGTTCAACCAATTGATACATTAAGTGTTCAGCAACCTTCATGCTCCTCAAATGCCATTTTTACTGACTGTAGCCAGTTGACATGTGAACCATCAACATCATTTTTAAAGAAGCCCCTTACTCAAAAAGTACATATAAACTTAATAAAATAATAAAATAATTATGTCCATCTATTATAATGAAATTGTTTGTTTGTTGTAAGTAAATTCTAGGCTTTTGAATGCTGAAGTTGTGAAAGAAATCAACAATGATACGCCAAGAAAAAATTATTTAAAAAGAACAATATCTTCTTTAATGCAAGAAAACAACAGTCAGAAGAAAAAAATCAAGATTCTAAATCAACAACTAAGACGTCAAAAAAAACAAATTTCCTCATTAAAAAGTATTTAGATATTATATACATAATTTATTATACAACAGTTTAAAAAAAAATAAAAATAATTTCACAATTATAACTCCTATAGATATAGTAATTATTAATATATCACATTGTGCATATTGTTTTAGATGTTGTTCAAGTTTTGAAAAATAAAAATTTAGTCCATCAAGATCAAGCAGATATGATAGACAGTAATTTTAGTAAGCATAAAGATCTAATAACTAATTTTATTAAAAAAAATGCTGGACAAAAACTGCCTGTAAAGTATAGTGCTGAACTAAGAAAATTTGCTATCACGCTTAATTTGTATTCTCCAAAAGCATATCGTTTTGTGCGTGAAGTATTTAATTCTGTGCTTCCTTGTCCGAGAACGCTTAGCAAGTGGTATTTACATGTTGATGCTGAGCCTGGTTTCACTAAAGAGGCTATTAACACACTATCTTTAGTTTGTAAAAATTCACCCACTCAACTTTATTGCTCATTGCTCATGGATGAAATGGCAATTAGGAAGCATGTTGAACGGGACGGTACTACTTATCACGGCTACATCAATTTTGGATTAGAAATACAGAATGAAACATTAGATGAAGCAACTGAATGTTATGTTTTGATGGCTGTGGGTATCAATGCTTCATGGAAAATTCCAGTTGAATATTTTTTCTGTAATAATTTAAATAGTTCACAAAAAGTAAATTTAGTTCAACGTTGTAAAGATGTAGTTTCTGGAACTGGTATAAAAGTTATTAGCTTGACATTTGATGGCTGCGCAGTAAATGTAAGCATGGCTAGAGCTCTTGGTTGTAACTTGAATACAAATCCTGCTGATATTGTAACTAGTTTTAAGATCCGAGATTTAGATGTTAATATTATGTTTGATGCTGCACATATGATCAAACTTGTGCGCAATACTTTTGGTGAAAAGATAATATTAATTGATCATAATGGTGGAGTTATTGATTTTAATTATATTAAACAATTATTGGTCTTGCAGGAAAATGAAAAGTGTCACTTAGGTAATAAGTTAAAAAAGAACATGTTTTAAAAAAAAAAAAAAAATGAAGGTTAAATTGGCCAGTCAACTTCTATCAAATTCTGTAGCAGATGCTTTATTATTTTGTAAAGATAATTTAAAGATTAAGGCTTTTGAAGGATGTGAAGCCACCATACATTTTATTAGACTATTTAATGATGCTTTTGACATTTTAAACTCGATACATTTAATGTCATACGGTTTTAAAGGTGCAGTTTGTATACAAAACTATGAAAAAGTTTATTCTTTTATTCTTTTATTTTTTTATTATGTTAATAACTTAAGACTAGAAAATGGCCAATTATTATTAAAATCTCAAAGATGTACTGGTTTTTTAGGATTTTTGATAAGTTTTAATTCTTTGCTAGATCTTAAATCCAAATATATTGATACTAATTGCTTGAAATTTATTCCTATGTACAAACTTAGCCAGTTAGCCAGAACCACATAGAAATATTCTTTGGTAGTGTTAGAGCTCAGGGTGGCTATAACAACAATCCAACTGCGAGGCAATTTAAATCTGCGCACAAAAAAAAAAAATGGTAAATGCTCAAATTAAAGATACTGGATTAGGAAACTGTATGGCACTAGAAGATATTCCGGTATTAAATTGTTCAAGTGTAAATGATCCAATAACCGCTATTAACAATTCAAATTGTATTTTAAATAGTGATGTAGTTGAATTAGAATCTGAGGTATACAATTTTGAAACTGATGGGTTCCACTTGAACAACTTAAGCCAATTTTCAAGAGAAGTTACTTTGTATATAGCTGGCTTTGTATCCCATAAATTGTCAACAAAAATTAAGTGTGATATTTGTAATGGTGCATTGTTTGGTAACAAAAGTAATTTTTTTTATTCTATCATAAATATGAAAGATAAAGGAGGTTTACATTATCCCAGTAATGATATAGTACAAGTTTGTGTTGCCACAGAAAAATATTTTAAAATATATTATGATAAAAAACCATTTAATAAAATGTTAATTATTACAAATGTATTAAAAAGTTTTATTAATAATAATTCAATTTTTAATTCAATAAAACATCATAATGATCAAAATGGACCACTTGAAAATCATGTTGTACTATTAATTAAAGCAATAATTTCAACTTATTCTGATATCAAAATTAATTACTTTTGTCGTACTGGAAATGAAACACTGTCTTTAAGAACATGGTATAACAAGTTGACTCTTTTTAGAGGCCAGTACATTTTTAAGTAATATATATATTATATTTATTTTTAATTAGTCTGTATTTTGTATTTATTAGACTTTTTATTTATGACTAAATATATAATTATATTTACCTATGTGGCTATGTGTATGAATGAATTCCTTAAATTGATGATGTCAATCGTTTTTTTTACATTATTATTTATTATGTAAGTACCTGTTGTTTGTAAACTTAAAAACTTTGTAATGTTAATAAATTGATGTAATTTGTAATATTATTATAAATATATTATTAATATTTATTATTGTATTAACTATTATTATCAAAAGATTATATTGATAATAAAAATAACCATGTACAATAGTTTTATATTAATGAAGTGATTACTCTGAAGGTCCCCTTTTTCCTTACTTCAATCTGTTCGATAGAGTAATATACGACATGGCCTCTCTATATATTCTTACTCTATGGTGTAATCGGAGTGTGTTACTATGTCATTCTCGTATGATATTTTACGTACTTGACCTACATTTATATCCTGCGTCGTTTCGGATATATTTAACACGCTTAACTATGTCTTATCATATTCGGACAAGTGGTATCACTCTTTTTTATTTAACTTTGAAATTTGAATCTTGTCTGTTTCTTTGGATGTTTGTCCACACGATTTCTCGACAATGGTGAAGTGTTGTACATGTGTAACTTGGTTATTTAATTTGGATTTTATACTTTGTGCTATTTATTTTTAATAAAATTACTACCTGATACAATTCCTCGTTTTGTTTAACCAATTCCTTATAAGTAGACTTGTAATACGCATATCTTTTTCATAGTTATAATCATGATCTGATAACTTGCTACTTTCTGTTGAAGTGACAGACATAATCAAAGTTAAAATTTAAAGACTGTGTCAAGAAAAGAAACCAATCTTGTGCACCATTAACCTTTTTTTTAGTAGACCTACCAGCAAAATTATTTTAAAAGGGTAAGTTTGTTTACAAAAAGTTATAAAAAGGACTAGCTTAAATACATTCTAGTAAATTAACTTCGTTGTTTTTAAATTTAAATTTGTTTTACTTTCAGAATTGTTAAATATTATCTGCCAACGTGGATATTGCTATTTGCTATTAACTTACCCAACACTTGCATGCAACATAGACGTCTGTTTGAGAGAGGATTTCCGAGGAATTTAATCTCATGCTGTTTACAAAATTAATTAATCGTGTTTAATTTCTACACATATTTTGCACTTTAAAAATGATAACCAATGTTTCTACATTATACATAAGGTACCTAATATCATATTATTCAGTTTTTATTAAATGTAATTTAGATTTTTGTATTTGGTTTCAGGTACATTACAAACATTTCAATTAATGTATTGATACTCGACGATGAGCCTAAAATGTGTAATTAATCTTTAAAACATATTTTTTGGACAAAATTATTTATAGATAGTATTTGCACATAGTTGTAAGTAAACTATTTTTTCATGCTTATTTTTCCTTTTATAACAAACGTAATTTGATTTCAGAACAAATTCATACTTATTACCTAGTTGTTATTTATATTTTGTGAAGCTCATACTTAAATGTCCAATAATTATAGATATTTAAAAACTAGAACAAAGTATTGTCACTTTATAACATTTTATTAAGTAGGAACTGTACTACAACATTATTTTAAAGTGTAAGTAGTTATACCAAATCTTATAAAAAGTACCTTAGCTTAAAGACTTAAATTAAATAATTTTAGTAAATTAACTTCATTGTTTTTAAAAATGATTTTTTTTTCTTTCAGGAAGGTTAAATATTAACTGGCAATGTGGATATCGTTATTATTTCACAAAAATCTTGAATGTGACTACAGTGATAGTTTGAGAGAAGGTTACCAGATGTTTAATTTCTATTCCAATTACTCGCACTTCAAAGATGATTACCAATGTTTCGTTATATAATACATAAGGTAATATTATATTCTTTAGATTTTTTTTAAATGTAATTTTTGTTTTTATATTTGGTTTCAGGAACATTACCTACGACAATTCAAATTTAAGTTCCGTGCATGCAATTATTATAACAAACCTAAAATGTCCAATCAATCTGTAAGATATATTTTATGGTTAAAATAACTTTTAGATAGTATTTGCACATAGATGTAGGTAACATATTTTTGAGTGTTATTATTAAAACTAATTTTACATATGTTAGCGTCTTAATAAATAGAGTGTCAGGATTAAGAATTAAAAACAAATAGTTGTACAGTTAATCATTTATTTAACAAAGAAACGTCGCGACTCGCGATTAACAATATTCGAACACTATATAATACTATAATACTATATCACAATAACGGCAGATCACACCGTCGGCGGAGCACACAACGTCGTGCACCGCGGTTGCGTAGAAACAGGAAGAGGCAGGCGTACCGAGTCAGGGCCGTAGCCTGGAGAAGTGAGAACCGGCGGCGGTGGCCATCAGTGTGACCACTCGCTAACATTCGGCCATCCGACTCCACGGACCGTCCCCGGGCCGTCCGCTTCCTGGTTCATAGCTATAATGTAAAAATATATTATTAATTAATTATCATTTTTTTTTTTAACATTATAATCATACTACGGTTCTCAATTCATTGTATAAACTTATAGCAGCCAATAGGCTTACTGGTTACAAAACTATTAAACATATACAAAAGGATTATAAAACACATTACCTTTTGTTATCCTACTAAGGATTTCAATTCATTATATAATCTTTGTAACGGGTGGGAGGCTTACTGGTTACAAAACTATTAAACATATACAAAAGTATTATAAAACACATTATTTTCCTTTTACAATGTTACCATACTACAGATTTCAGTTCATTATGTAAACTTATAGCAGCCAGTAGCCTTACTGGTTACCAAACTATTAAACATATACAAAAGTATTATAAAACACATTATTTTCCTTTTACAAGGTTACCATACTACAGATTTCAATTCATTATATAAACTTATAGCAGCCGGGAGGCTCACTGGTTACAAAACTATTAAACATATACAAAAGTATTATAAAACACATTATTTTCCTTTTACAAGGTTACCATACTACAGATTTCAATTCATTATATAAACTTATAGCAGCCGGGAGGCTTACTGGTTACAAAACTATTAAACATATACAAAAGTATTATAAAACACATTACCTTTTGTTATCCTACTAAGGATTTCAATTCATTATATAATCTTTGTAACGGGTGGGAGGCTTACTGGTTACAAAACTATTAAACATGTACAAAAGTATTATAAAACACATTATTTTCATTTTACAATGTTACCATACTACAGATTTCAGTTCATTATATAAACTTATAGCAGCCAGTAGCCTTACTGGTTACCAAACTATTAAACATATACAAAAGTATTATAAAACACATTACCTTTTGTTATCCTACTAAGGATTTCAATTCATTATATAATCTTTGTAACGGGTGGGAGGCTTCCTGACCCTTTTGGTTGGGTTTGGGTCGCCTGGGGTGTCCTCCGGGACATTCTGTTGGATCGGGTCGCCTGGGGTAGGATCTGAATCCTCTTCGCTTGTCTCCCCGTGGCTTGGTGAATCGGAATCTGGACCCTCTTCGCTTGTCTCCTCGTGTCTTGGTGAATCGGAGTCTGGACCCTCTTCGCTGAGTACCTTCCACGACTTTAGTTGGGATGCGTGTGCAGTAGTGAAATAAACAGTCTTGCCCTCTAACGTCAGTTCGGCCACACGATAAGTGTCTGAGGGCAGAACTTCAATAACCTGCAGCGGGCGTTCACGATACTTAGACTGTAGCTTTGCTGACTGACCCGGCACAGGTTGCCTCAGCATGACTACTACTTCACCTAGTTCAAAGCGAAGTCGGTCATGATGACGTTGGTCGTACCGCCGCTTCATCTGAACCTGTCCCTGCACTATTGAGTCTCGCACTTCAGCATGTTGTTCTGCTGATTCTACTCGATCATTTTTGGTTCGGCTCAGCGAGTGTAGGACACCACCCTGGTAGCGCGGTTGGTATCCATATACCAAAAGGCTTCGTATGGGGTTTTCGTTGTTGTTTTGTTTTCCGCAGAGTTGAGATGCCGCTCGATGTCGCGTATCCTTGCGTCCCATGTACTTTGGTCTGTTGCCGTCAGGCTCAGCAGTGGCAGGATGGTGCGATTCGCCCGTTCCACCTGCCCATTTGCCTGTGGATGACGAGTGGAATTAAGTACATGACTTATAGAGTTTAACTTACAAAACCTGTCAAAGGCGTGGGACGTGAAACACGTTCCCCGGTCGCTGATGATACGGTCTGGTAGTCCCCTTTCGCCGACAAACTTTTCCAAAATTCGTAGCACGCCAGCCGCGTCTGTTGTACGGCACGGATACAGCTGCACGTACTTGGTGAGATTGTCTGCGATCACTAGTAGGTAACGATTCTTGGACCTTGACGTTTCGAATGGCCCCAAATGGTCAATATGTACTATCTGGAACGGTCGTCGGCCCGGTGGTGTCGGGTGAAGCAGTCCCGCCTGCTTGCCAGCCGGTCGCTGGTGGGTTAGACAATCTATGCACATTTTAATGTGTTTCCGTACGTACCTCCTCATGCAAGAGAACCAGTAGTCCCTTGTGATTCGAGCGATTGTTCTGTCAACCGAGAAGTGTCCGCCATAATCATGCGCTGACATAACAACACCCTTACGCATCGACTTTGGCACCACTAGTAACGGTTTACCTCGGACGGTTTACTTCCGCTTCTTCGCCTTTAGTTCATTCGTTGGGCGACTCCAACAATTTAATTACCTTGCGGGTGCGTTCGTCTGCTTGTTGCATGAGCCTGACCCGATCTGTGGTCGAAAGAGCGATAAATACTTCTAAACGGCCCGAGAGTTCGGCTTCGACGGACATATCAGCCGATTCGTTGTCATTCGGCGCTCGGCTCAGGGCGTCGACGTGCGCCATGCGCGACCCAGGATGGTACCTTATATCCAAATCGAATTCCTGGAAGACCTCGAACCAACGTGCTATTCGTGGTTTGGTTGT